AAACCACCATCCCCCAACCATACCCTGACCGTCTTCTCTGTCCACCTTCCAAACACCCCCAACCATCTCCTGACCACACCCGACCACACCCCAACCATACCCTGACCACCCCCAACCCCCGAAAAGGTATATTTTGATATCCAAGATTCATAACATCTTTTGGCATCAGCTGCAGCTAGTTACACAGATGGAGTATCTCTATCCAAGCCTTGAATGTTCTGATAACTGATAATTCAACAGCCATGCTGTTAACAGTTCATATTTTGTTTGAAGACGAAAATCTCGGGGGATTTTGAGAGCTTCACTCTGATAACCGATATCCAGCATATCTGAGGATGTTATCTGACCAGATATTGAGGTTAGCTGTGTTTTGGCTTTGGATGTTGATGTCGGAGGTCAGCTGACATACAGAGAGAGCGAGAGAGAGAGAGAGAGTTTCTAGACAGTTGTAATTGTTGTGTAGTAACAGGTGTCTTATGCTGAGGTTCTGTCATTTTGTGGAATGGTGGTGTTTTCTTTTACTGATGAATGAGTGAGTATAGTTTTACGCCGCTTTTGGCAATAATCCAGGAATATTGGGGGGATGGAGGTAGATACCAGAAATGGGCTTCACACATTGTACCCATGTGGGGAATCGAACCCGGGTCTTCGGCATGATAGGCGAGCGCATCAACTACTAGGCCACGCCTTTTACTGATGAAACTGAAAACAGAAAGACTGCATAGCCTGTCATACTTTCTGGTGTCTTTAAAGATTGTGTAGTTGTTAGTTAAATGTGTTTTTTCGTTATCTATGAGATGTGTTCAGGAAACTGGAAGCAGTTTGGTCATTTTGGCTGTTTGAGATTTACATGAATCTTTTTGAAATCATGTTATGTTTCCTGATTGTAGTTGGTTATCAGTCATTTTGTCCAAGCCAGACAATGACGTACAGGGGAAACATTACATTTGTCAGCCTCTTATGTTATCATGTCCATATATTAGTGTTTATCACATTTGCAGTTTGTTTGGAATTTGGATTTTGTTTGACATATTTCAAGTCATTTTCCAATTTTACGAATAGATTAAACGTTTTTTTTTGAAGAAATGGTATTTTAGATCATGCTAGGAATTTGTGAAATAATGGTGTTTTGAACGTTTTTGCAACAAATGGTATTTTTATATTTAGCCTGGGTACAATGTGTGGAGCCTATTTCTGGTGTCCCCGCCGTGATATTGCTGGAATATTGCTAAAAGCGGCGTGAAACCATACTCACTCACTCACTCCCTATATTTAGCCCTGAATGGTATTTTATAGATTTCTGTAAGAAATGGCATTTTACCTTTTTACCTTTTTGTAAGAAATGGCATTTTGCACATTTGTGGTGACATTACTATGACAAATGGTATTTTTTATATTTTAGCCATGATTGTATTTCATACCTTCCTGCTAGAAATCTTAGTCTTTCTATTTTTAAAGGAATGGCTTTTTGAAATAATTTTTTCAAAGAATCTGATCAGTATTGGTGTTAAATGTTAGAAGAACATCATACCTTTTTCTGTAGTTCAGAAATTCAGCTGAATTTCAATAGTTTATGTGTCATAAAAACATGGCCAGCAATGAGGGTCAGTTTGTCAAAATGTTTGTTAAGGTAGATAATTTGCTCTCCTCTACTGTCTAGTTGTGTTGTGTAAGTGAAGTCTACGCTAGGCCACCATGGAGGAACTGAAGGACATGGAAAGAGCTCTGCTACAGGTAGGTGTCCTAAAGGTGTCCCAAAGGTGTCCAGTGGCTGTCCCATTACATCTGAGGTACAGTTGTATGGGTGTCCAGTCACACCCGGCTTGTATTTGTTATTATATTATTATTGTAGGATATTTATATAGCGCACATATCCACGCACCAGTGCATGCTCAAGGCGCTGGTATTTTTCCCCTCGATCATTGGATGTCAATGTCAACAGCACACCGCATTATCAATCTCAACTCCCTGGGGAGTATACAACTCTTGCAGCCACTAGGCGCACCGAGTTATTGTGGCTTTCTCATCCTAAAGAAGTACCCTTTCACAGCTGGATGGACTGGGACACATAGTCACAGTACTTTGTCCAAGTTCACTGCACGTTGCTGTACCCGCAACCCGTATTCATGTGGCCACCATCTGGTCAAATACCAACGGATTCGTGAGTTCTTTTAAGTGCACAGGGTTGTGTACTGTACACTAGGGGTTGTGACAACACTGAAGGAGTCTGCACACAAAGTTGACTCCAAGGTTTTTACACCCGGCTTGTATATGTTGAGTTGTATCGGTGTCTGGTGAATGTCAGATAGTGTCCAGTGTTACATGTGCAACAGGGTTTTACATGACGCCTTATTCCTGCATATTTGACGCAACAATTTTGTAAAAGACTCTCAAAATATTATCATACGAGTCAAGCTTGACGCAAGTTTTATGAGTGACCCTCACAATTCAGTTCAGAGTCTATAAAATCGATCTGATAAGCAAACAATGATAGTTTTCGTGAGGTCTTCATTAATTTAGATTTTTCTTTCAATTCATGTTAATAACTGTATGTTACAGTGAATAAATCACAAGCCTGATTATTTGTTCAGTATACTGGAGTTTGTTATGACTGAACTGAACTGGGCTGAGAATAATCAACATGTGCTCAAAGCAACTGCTTCATTGGTCATTTCTGTGAGTTGTATAACTTCCGACACAACCGACATACATAAACCGAAGAAATTAAGAAACCACCTGTAAACACAGCAGAATAATCATCCATCAGTTTGAGGGTGTGGTTAGGTAGCCTAGTGGCTAAAGTGTTCTCTCATCACAGCGAAGGCCCAGGTTCGATTCCCCACATGGGTACACTTTGTGAAGCCCATTTCTGGTGTTCCCCACCATGATATTGCGGTAATGTTGCTAAAAGCGGCGTAAAACCAAACTCACTAGTGCATGTTATCCCCAACGCGGACATATTTTCGCAGAAACTGTTTCTCATTTAACAGCTTATGTATCGCTATATGTAGGCAGAATGAATAGTTGTCAAAATAGGAACAGAACACTGTGGGGGGGGGCTATTGATGACCATGTCTTCTTGTTATTATTGTGTTATATTGATGTAACAACTTGCGAATCTTAACTGAAACTGTTGAATAACCAGTTTGTGCAGATTCTCTAGCATTTCTGGTTGACTATAAGTAGCAGATGTGTCTTCCCCTACAATATCCTATCTTTCTGGACCGTCTCCATAGTGTAGTGGTTAGAGCATCTGCCCGGAGAGGTATCGTGATATGTATCGAATCATGACATGGGTATCGTGATACGTATCAATTCCTGAAACTTATGTATCGTGACATTCCTAGTCACCAGACCGCCTCCGTGGTGTAGTGGTTAGAGCATCTGCCCGGAGAGGTATCGTGATATGTATCGAATCATGACATGGGTATCGTGATACGTATCAATTCCTGAAACTTATGTATCGTGACATTCCTAGTCACCAGACCGCCTCCGTGGTGTAGTGGTTAGAGCATCTGCCCGGAGAGGTATCGTATCATGACATGGGTATCGTGATACGTATCAATTCCTGAAACTTATGTATCGTGACATTCCTAGTCACCAGACAGCCTAAGTGGTGTAGTGATTAGAGCGTCCGCCCGGAGAGCGAAAGGTGATGGGTTCGATCCCGGCCACGTCATACCAACAGACATTAAAATATGGTACTTGTTGATCCCTGCCTGGTGCTCGGCATTAATGGGTACTTCAAGGACTGGTCGGCTTGGTTATTATGATGTGTCTGAGTGGGGTATTCATGCTTGAACTGCGGCATGGTATCTCAGTGGGCTAGCACTATAAAACCAGCTTCAGTCTGGGCTAGTACAAGCAGCCGCACATACACATGCATGCATATGAGCGAAATATTCTCAAGTACGACGTAAAACCCAATTTCACCGCACCCATCTTTGCTGTCTGAGATTTATGAGTTGGTGTTGTGATTCAGTTGTACTAAGGAGAGAATATCAACTTATGAAACAGAAGAATTCTATTTGGATACCCGCAATATAGCTGGAATATTGCTGAGTGCGGCGTGAAACTGAACTCACTCTACAGGGGTGGAAATAACCCATTGCCTGACGTCCGAGTCCAGTGTTATTTTCTGTTGGGCAGCAAATTTATATATCCCACTGTACCGGTGTCAAGTTGACTTTCCAATGTTAATTATGTTGTTTATTTAAAAAATCAACAAGAAAACGGCTGGTATAGTGGAAAACTTATCAGGGCAAGTGATTTTGCATGTGCCACTGTACCGGAGTACACTAGCAATTTTAAAGTTATTTCTACCCTTGCTCTATAGGGATACAAATCCAGTAACCAAAATGGTATTGAATTGCGTGCTCTGACATGAATGAAATATTTTGACAGTGTTTCATGATACAAATAATATTAACCATGATTCATTCAATTGAACATGATTCGAAAATATTTTTCACCCTGTCAAACGACTTATTGTTGGCGCTCACAGTCTCACACCTTTAAATGGGCGTTGCCATTTTGAATGCTAACCTAAATTTTCTGTCTGGTCTTACCAGGGGAAGGTATCATATAGTTACCTCATTATATCGTTACACCTCCAGTGAAAAGCTGAAGTATAGGTCAGCTCACTTTCACGAACATGCTCTCTACGCATTTGACTGTTGAAGATCTGGGTTAAAATTATTCTTCATCAACCTATGCTGTTCATAAGAGGCGACTAACAGGATCGGGTAATAATGCTCGCTGACTTGGTTGACACATGTTATTGTGTCCAAATTGCGTAGGTCAATGCTCATGCTGTTGATCACCAGATTGTCAGGTCCAGACTTGATTATTTACAGGCCGCCGTCATATAGATGGAATATTGCTGACCTTGCCGTTGAACAACAAACAAAGAAATCAAACACTGTACATTTAAGCCCTAATTCACCCATCAGCGTCTTGTTGTTTCAAACTTATCTGTATCTTTTGTCTTTATGTTTTAGCTGCGGCAGTTGCTGACAAATGCATTTGACGACCTCCTGGATGATGACATCTTGTCCGTGACATCAGATGACTCCGTCAACGTCAGTGGATGCCAAGACCTAACAGAAGGGTGAGCATCTTGGTTTGCTGTTTCACTTTGCAATTTGAACATGAAAGATGAAAACTTCTTACCAATGTTACTTTGCAATTACATAGTAAAGTTCATCAGAGGCCCAGATGAGCTGCGTATCCGGGTAAAATACGCATAGAAATTTCCAATCATGCATTGAAAAATAATTGTTGCGTACCAATTAGGCATTTAAAATGTAAGATACGCAAAACTTTTAAAACAAATGCGTGCGGAATATATTTATAAAAATCCCTTGCGTAATGAAGAAGACATCGATTGCTATCAAGTTGTACTGTTAGTATAGGATGAGTGATTTTTATGAAATTATTTCCATTATATTTAACTTGGTTTTGATAAGGTATGACATAAGGCAGAACATACCTGCTTAGTAAACTTACTCAATGACATAATACTACTGTGAGTAAAATGACTGAAATACGCACATATTTGAAAGCAGTGGGTAACTAAAAATGAAATACCCACTCAACATTCATAATACCCACTCCAAAAAAATACAGTGGGTACAGTACCCACATGAGCTAATTCTTATCTGGAGCTCTGGGCCTAGATTTTCGAAGTTCTCTTAGCGCTAAGATAGTCGTAAGTTAATGTTAATGTATGGTACTTACGACTATCTCAGGGTTAGAAATCTCTTTGAAAAGTGTACTAGCCATGAGGACTAGTGACTCTCACCAAACTACTAGTCCTCACACAATTTTGGTAGTCCTCAAATTTCAATCTTTAATAAACCAAATCATTAATTCGACTTAGTCAAGCAGTATTGGCAGAGGTGTATCATAACAAACACACACATAATATGTTTTGGCATAGTTTAATTCAGTCATGACAGATGGATATGATCATATTATTCAGATAACACAACTACAACGTACATAAGTTAATATTTAATGAAAATGCAAGCTTACACATTTATAATGTCCAGATAAACCACGAAGGAAGCAAACAATGCGGCGATTTTTTCCATTTGTAGCATGACATAATTATCCCCTTACGTTTTTCTTTTCTATTTTTCATGTTTACGCAATCGGAAAACTATTATAAAGATATTTCTCAAATAATATGTATGGTCGTCGTCTATTTCCTGATACCAGTGGCTTTCCGCTCGGTAGCGTGATACAACAGTGGGAAATACCTCCGTTTTGAAGCTTCAATAAAAACATGTGAGCGATTTGTTTGATGGCGGTATCGTTCGAAAGCTCTGAACATCAACTATATCACTATACCCTTGCCAAGAGTATTTTCACAGTTGTAAGAAGCGATTTGATTGGTTAAAGATTAGTTTCTAATGACGCTTTTCTGTCACAGTCTGCTACGAGTATCGTGATTGGTCAAAATCACCTGCGTGACCTAAGGCAGCCAATCATATTACAGCAATGGATACCGCCCTCGTGAAAGCGAAAACTTTTAGATTCAGACGAAAGTTTTGGGTAAATTCATGCTATTCTGAACGTGTTACGCACAAGATCACTACCTAAACGTATATTCTGGACCTTAGTGGACGTATCGTGCTAGGTTATGACCTGTGACAAAATTGCTTCATGCATATATTTTAGCTTTAACATCGTGTCCGAGCAGGAAGTTCGAGGCGACGAAAGCCGAGATGTCACTTGAATTACATTACACGATCGCACAATAAAGATGGGAATAGTAAGTTATAATGTAGGTTTGACAACTTTTATGAGTACCGTTATTGAATATATTCTTCAATTTATTCAATTTGTTTAATTATCATCTCGAAACATCGTTACTTTGCTCTTTGACAACTTTGATGTGGACCCGTTGCCGAAGCATGTGTCCGAGAATTGTTTTTTCCAATAACATTGCGAAAAATAGCTTTTAATTTTAAGTTTGTCGATAATATATGGTCATTTGAAATGTAATATGTGTTTTCAGACATTGTGAAAAGTGATAGTTAGATTTAATTAATGAATCAAATGTTAGTTAGGTTCCTAAAGTTATATATCATTTTGATGCGACTACTGCCTGGTAGCCCGGCGGACTAGTACTGTTAGATGTTTTGTTAGTCCTCCGGGAGATTTACTAGCCTTGGGCTAGCGGACTAGCGATAGATTTCGAACCCTGCTATCTTAGCGCTAAGTGAGCTTCAAAAATCTAGGCCCTGGTTCATTATGCTTTCAGTGGTGATCTCGCCACATAATCATATTTTTGCTATATATCTTAACTTGACCATGTTGGGGGAGGCTTGGAGAGGATTCAACTTCTGTATTATGAATAAACTGATGAAGGGGTAAGAATATACTCCAAGTCTTTGTGCTTCCTTCATAAATTACACCCTCATGTCTTTCACTTCTAAAGACTTGACCATTTTGACCTATATTTGATCACTGCTTACCAACCATGCTTCTGTATTCTCTTATAATGCATTTCAAGAGGTTCAAATTTATTCCAAGATTTGCAGGTTTTGGTTTTTTTGGTCAATCTCCAGGGGTCCAGATAGTTTGCATCAAGGGTGATCTATTCTATAGCCACATTGACTGTTACTTGTATGTATTCCATGGATTAAGCCACTGGTTGTTTCAGGCTGTGTTTTGGCTAACGATTGTCATCATCTTCAGTTGTGCACTTTTCATTGATTTCAATTGTTAATTTTTCTGTTTCATAAAAGCATCCGGTTAATATGACATGGACATAAACAACTTGGTTTTTGTGACACACATCACATTATCACCCATGAGGATATGAGTTAGAAGTGATCATTAAAATCTTAAGAAATGCCCAACAGAATCAGGTGACCACATTGACTTGGTTGACAGCTCATGCTGTTGATCACTGGATTGCTTGGTCCAAACTTGATAATTTGCAATATTGCTAAGTATAGCGACAAACTTAGTAATGAAGCTGACTAAGTATGTTAAAGCGTAGCTTGACAAACCTGCAAGTTTCAGAAATGTTTTCAACTCACAGTTTTTTTCATTCAGAGTTACCTCCCTTATTTTAGTCCTGCTTTTCTTTTGCCATTTTGACTAATGTTTAAGGTTAGTGTTGGGAATCGGAAACCAAGTCCACTATCGATTATCGGAGGACTTGTGGTGAACGGTAATCGATTATTACCGAAATATATACATTTTTAAAGTAATCACCAATTTTAAGGGTTTTTTCCCAGGTTTTTTCTAATTTGTGTTTTTTATGACTAATACTGTCATGCTATGGAATGCCCGCATGCAAGAACAAGTATTTATCAGTATATCTCATTACGTTAACAATAGATGTAAAATATATTCATAGACAGGTTACGGTAATATTTACCGTAGTGATGAATACGAAACTATGAATACAATGCACATAGCTATACGCTCTTGAGTGCATGTTTGTTCGTGAATATTCGTCAAAGTTAATGGTTATTTTACTTCATTCAAGTGTGTTATACCAAAACAACAAAATTCTGATTAATTGAAAATGGGTTTTTTACAATCGATAATTATTATTAATCCTTCTTTCAAATAATTTTCGATTACTTTTTATCATCGGAACACAACTATTTAATATGTTTAAGTTTCATCTTTTATATCATGACTCTTGATTCTCCAGTGGACGGACGCCTCGCAGAAAGAGAGCAAGTGGGAGAATCTTGGCAGCCAAGGCCAGCAGTCAGGAGTGGGGATATCCAGTACCCCTAGCCAATGGCAGACGTGAACCAGGGTCACATGACATAGGTTACACACAGACACATGGAGAGACGCCAAATTTCGGAGGCACATACAACCTTTCTTCCCAAGCTCCAGTGCGGGAGTACGGATCCAATGAATACTCTAATCCCGAAGGTGTGACTGATTATAAAGGTCAAGGTTACCTGCAATGGGGTGGCAGTGTGGAAAACCTTGACCCTGGCAGAGGTCATATTGAGGTCACAGAGCAAGCTCAGAAGCACGAGCACATGCCAGGGTTTCATTACCACCAACCTTGTTTTGACAATGACACCGACAGGATGAATTCAATGGAGAATCGTATTATTATCGGAGTTGAGAGAGGAGAAACGGAAGGCGGGAATGAACATTTAAGAGCAGAAGCACAAAACCAGCTCTGGAGTCAGAATTATAACCAGCATTTTAGAGACCTCTACAGGGAAGATGACATTCCAGGGGGAGATAACTCTCATGAACAATTTCAAACTGGTTCAAATAATTTCGCGAATACTCATCGGCATCTTGATAGTGAGATTCAGATTAACTTTGCAAATGGACAAACCCTACCTGACAAAGCCTACGGTTTTGGACCTGAATCGGGTCAGTTTTCGTTGAACACAGAATCTCAACCAATGGAACTTCATTACAACCAAACCTACCACAGTTCTCTGGCATCAAATATTAATGAGGGTATAATAAGACACATGACCCACAGACAAGATGTTGGTGTACCTCTTCAGGGTCCACCGTCACCACGGAAACAGGATTACCCAGAATCCTACAAGGTTCAGTACAAAGCTCCCCAACCTGAGCAACCAATTTTGTCGGCCAATCAGATGCTGCCAGAACCTGAATCAGCCAATCAGGAGAGTGCAGGCAATCATAGGGACTTCCTGCAACAAGGTATGTTTTGTGTGATATTTTGTGCATCATTTGAATTGCAACACATTTTGAATACGAGCGTTAATATTAATGGGAACGTTTATCAAGACAACTACAGTTGTCATCTGATCATTGAAGAGTATGACCATCCATCTCATTTGCTTGGATGTTTATTTTATTGTAACTTACCCCATAGGCCTATTGGAATACCATTTATTGTAAACCAAAAGTCACTGTGTTCTTTAATCTGATTGGTTGAAAAACATGATCAAATGGTATTTGATTCCCGGAAATTCGCTGCATATTAATACATGCAAACATCGCTCACACCATTGTATTGTTACATCATCAGCTGTGATGACGTCATTAAAATCATATTGTGAAGTCTGAATGAAGTCACAAATGAGCAGTTCCAGATGCTACCATGGGAGACAGCCAAAACGGCTGTACCCGTACCCGTAGGTTTGAAGCACGAGAATATTCCATTTGAAACCTCCGGCTGAAGCCGTCGGTTCCAAATGAATTCTCGTGCTTCAAATACTCAATAACACCCGGAAAATGGCCAACATGTGATGTTTATCTCCTAATTGTTTACTTTCTCAACTAACTGGTTAACTTGTGTAACATATAGAAGTCAGATGTGTATGTTAGAATTGTTCGGGGCGATGGGGTAGCCTAGTGGTTAAGCGTTCGCTCGTCATGCCATCGTGATATTGCTGGAATATTGCTTAAAGCGGGTGTAGAACCCAACTCACTCACTCACATAGAATTGTTCTAGGACATTGGTTCAGCATAATGCTGAAGACTTGGGTTTGATTTCCCATGTGGGTTTATACCATCTGGGTTTTTTTAACCACGGCAACCAACAATTTTCCAGTTATATGATGACACTCTGTAAATAATTAAGTCTAAACAAGAAAATCCTGTGAATGCCATCGTCAACATCAATTTTCACAATTATGGATACAAAGATATTTGTCAACTAAGTCAGAGAACTTGACCAACTGAACCTAAGCAGAGATGCCAACCTCTACGACTTTATTGTAGTCGCTACGAATTTTAACCTCATACTACGCCAATACAATTGCACAAGACATTCTATGAAATTTGAAGATAATTCATTAAATTTTGGATATAGAGACAACAGCTTATATTTTCGTCAGTTACATACATTTTCGCTAAAAAGAGACGACAAAAAGAAATGTAATGCCGATAATTTGGAAATCTGCTGTTAGAGGTATGTGAAATTAAAGCTTTGCGCTTGATTAGTGTCGTGTTATCTTTCTCAGAATCCCATCATGATTTTAAGTATCTAGTTGACTCATAATTTTATGGTCAAACTACTAATTTTGATCCATAAAATTAGAAGATAAAGCTTCTCTGTTTTTAATTTTGCGGTCCTTTGTCGTTGATTTAAGACATCCAAATTAAACATTTAGCGGTGTTAAATCTACGATAAAGGCCCGCAAAATTGAAAACAGAGTAGCTTTATCTTCATTCTAGCATGACTGATAAGCGTTTTAAAACCGAACTGTTTGGCTCGCAAGAACACAAGGCATGAGGGGGCCTTTTTCCTGGAAATCGCTTGGAATTGTCCCGTTGAGGGACAGGTTGTGCAATTAACAAAATAAGACATTTTCAACAACATAAATGCTTTATTTCAGGAACCAGTATGCCTGTATTTGTAACAAGTAGCATACATAAATAAAAAAAATACAGTTTATACTGTGAACAAGTACAATTATTTGATTTTTCTCAAGCAAATTATTGATCTTCCCTACTGTATGACAATCGACTCGCCCCAATTCAAGCCGTGAACTCGCTAAGCTTAGTTGCCGCTAACCACCGAAGTATTCCAAATTGGAAAAGACCTGACATCCCACGTTTTATGTGGGATACATGGACATTGGAAGTGGAAGGACTGGGTATTACGGCCGGGACAGAAGTGGTCAGGTTAGGACGTGTGGGCTGACATGTGTTGTCGACGTCAACACCGTAAATCTGGACCAGGTTTGAATGTACTGCCACTTTTGCACTGCTGACGGATTTTCCAGCTTCGTAGTTTCTTCACTGGGATTAGGGTCAAGAAATTCTTCTTCAATTCATTCGCTTTTTACTTCAAAAACACCAAAGATGCTGCCGAGATAGAAATTGCCGATGTCCGAAATGTTTGTTTACAAACAATAGGATCAACGAGTTCGTTGTATTCATACGCGGTGAATCGGTCACTTTAATTAGCGGTCTTAAACTGCCATTTAAGTACAGTTTTGATGAGCTCTTAGCCAATCAGAATCGAGTATCACACAATGTCGTGCTAGAATGACTATTTGCATCACTTTGGGGTTGGCATCTCTGTCTAAGTTGCTTCGTATGACAAACATGGGTTGGGAAGACCAATTATAACTCAGATCTTCAAGGGTTATCCAGATGGATACAATGTGTCAAGCCCATTTCTGGCGTTCCCTATCGTGATATTGCTGGAATATTGCTAAAAGCAGCGAAAACTAAACTAAAACTGTGTTATTGTTCAAATATTGTTTAAAACGGCACCAAACCTTACTCACTCACTCACCCATTCTTAAGAAGGATTTTGAGTGTAGGTTTCTTGTAAGCTGTGTTATGGTAAAGTTTGGTAGTCAGGAATTATGATTATGTTTTTGCATGTCACTGGATGTCACAGCTGTGTGTTTTACCGCTCATGATATCGATCACTGGCTTGTCCAATCCAGACTATAATTTTCATCCTATAGCTGGAGACTACTGATTGCAGCAAAACATTTCAAGCAATTCACCTGTATTGTTGATGATTGTTTGTGATTAACAATTAAGAATATAGAACTATGCTTATGTCCTCAGGTCTTCGAGTAGACGGGCTGTAGCCTAGTGGTTAAAGCATTCGCTCGGGTTTGACCTGGGTTCGATTCCCCACATGGGTACAATGTGTGAAGCTCGATTCTGGTTCCCCGCCGTGATGTTGCTGGAATATTGCAAAAAGCAGCATAAAACCATACTCTCTCACTCACTTGTAGGAGGGACGGTGTGGGTAGCCCAGTGGTTAAGGCGTTCTTCTTGTCGCTTACACCTTGTTTCCCCACATGGGTACAATGTCTGAAGCCCATTTTTGGTGTCCCCGCTTTGTTATTGCTGGAATATTGCTAAAAGTGGCATAAAAATACACTCACTCTCAAACTCACTCACTCATTCATTCATATTAAGAATGCAGAAGCCTCAACATGGCTGAGAGTCCTTGTAACATACCCTTTTACAGAAGTGTCCTCTGGTCTTCCAGTAGACTGTATCAGAGTCAAATATCTGATTTCACTGACATTTTGTTGGAAGCTGCATTAAAATAAACGCTCAGTGACCCCATTCACGCATGGTTACGTCCGTATCTCTCGACAGACGGTGGAGAGGACGAGAGACAGCTGGGGCAGCTGCAGATCCTCTACAAGGCTCGAGGTCGGCAGCTGGAGGACCTCCAAAGGGACCTTGAGACCCTCAAACAGGAGTCCGGCAGGGAGAATCGCATCCTCAAACACCAGCTCTCTCTGGCACAAGGTCAGTAGCTGATTGTATTCTGAGCTTCACTGCTTTCTATAGTAAGTCATACACTACCAGAGCTCCAGATAAGATTTAAGCTCATGTGGGTACTGTACCCACTGTATTTTTTGGGAGTGGGTATTATGAATGTTGAGTGGGTATTTCATTTTCCGTTACCCACTGCTTTCAAATATGTGCGTATTTCAGTCATATTACTCACCTATGTATTATGTCATTGAGTAAGTTTACTAAGCAGGTATGTTCTGCCTTATGTCATACCTAATCAAAACTAACTTAAATATAATGGAAATGATTTCATAAAAAATCACTCATCCTATACTGACAGTACAACACTAGTCCTATACTAACAGTACAACTTGATAGCAAGCGATGTCTTTTTCATTACGCAAGCAATTTTTATAAATATATTCCGTACGCATTTGTTTTAAAGTTTTTGCGTATCTAACATTTTAAATGCGTAATTGGTACGCAACAATTATTTTTCAATGCGTAATTGGAAATTTTCTATGCGTATTTTACCCGGATACGCAGCTTATCTGGGCCTCTTCACTACCTTGACTCTCAAATATGACAGTCCCAGGGACCCCTAATTATTACCTTTAAGGGCAGGCAGTATGAGGGTCTTGTGAAGTAATGGTGTAGAGAACTGTTTGTTTGATAACTTCTTTAGAGTCTAGAATGTATCACTGATCATGTGGACTGGTGGATGAAATGATGCAAGTAACTGCTCTGAAAGAAACAACCAAACACTTAGCAAAGGTAGATGTGTTGTTGGTACAGAGAATGATACTTTATGTCCCTCTGGATGCTGTGACTTTTTTTCTGCGTCCATTCTCTACATTTGTCCGTAAAACCCTGCCCTATGTAAGTCTGGAATGTGTGGCGGGTCTAGATTACCAGAGTTTCTGAAAATGAAGAATCTCCCTGGGCTCCTTTTTATTGTATTATTAAATATTAACATAATTTAGAAACCGCTTTTTATTTCCTTCTGTGTAATATGTTCATTTCAGAGACTAGAGGTAATCTATGCTTTCCAGAAACATGTTTTCAGGCCCTGGCAACTTATGTTCTATCGTCAAGTGTTTCAAACACTAAAACAATAGTTCTAATAGAAAAGGTGATCGATCACTTAGTCGTTTGGTCATTGCAGACAGTATTTGAGAGCTCTTCGATGTAGATTTCAATTAATCCCCAGGTGAGACATCCACTAGTGCCAGTGTCATACACTGATGACTCATACAGACAGCTGCTGGGGAAACTATTTGAGAGCATACTATGTATCAAGCTTACCCTGCTGATCCCACAGGTGAGAAAGGTGGAGGCTTGGCATCCAGCTACAACACTATCAGAGGCAGTGTCAGGAGCTGCTGCAGGAGACTCAAGGATGAGAGACGCCCAGCTGCTGGGCTTGCAAACACTACAGGCCGTGGAGGCACAGGTGGAGAGTCTCAACACTATCAGGGAAGAGGTGAGATCACACACTCGCTCGCACACATACACACACAGGCCATGGAGGCACAGGTGGAGAGTCTCAACACTATCAGAGACGAGGTGAGATCACACGCTTGCGCACACATACCCACACAGGCCGTGGAGGCACAGGTGGAGAGTCTCAACACTATCAGAGACGAGGTGAGATCACACGCTCGCTTGCACACATACCCACACAGGCCGTGGAGGCACAGGTGGAGAGTCTCAACACTATCAGAGACGAGGTGAGATCACACGCTCGCTTGCACACACATACACACACAGGCCGTGGAGGCACAGGTGGAGAGTCTCAACACTATCAGAGACGAGGTGAGATCACACGGCGAGGTGAGATCACACACACATACCCACACAGGCCGTGGAGGCACAGGTGGAGAGTCTCAACACTATCAGTCACAACATTATCACAATTTATACACACACAGGCCGAGGAGGCACAGGTGGAGAGTCGGATACACAGGGTCTCAGCAGGCATGCTCTAACACTATATGAGATCACTAAGCCATGCGGCTAAATGTATCTCTCAAGCACATAACCAATATATAAATTATATTAAAGTGTGTTAATTTTAATGAGTTCTTGTTCTTATATACATTTTCTAAAATTCCCAATATCTAAAGAAGACCACTTCTATATTAATGAATTCCATGCCGCAGAGGCATGCTCTAAGCGCATACAGCATAATGGACATTATTATTACCCCTGATAACCCAAGCTGCCTGTGAGGCCCTAGAAGGTTAATAATCATATGACTTATCCTATCGGGTACCCATTTTCTGCTGTGTGAACAATATTCTAAGGGGTTATTGGCAGCCACTGTTTTACGCTTATCGCATTTTACGTTTTCCTTACAATCTCATCCTACGAGGTACCCAGTTTCTGCTGGGTGTAAATGCTACTGTGTATCTGAGTGAAGGTGTGTTCATATTTTCAGTATGTGAAGAAACTGCAGACGACCGAGACGACCCTTGAGAACTTGACACATGAGCTGTCAAACCTGCAGCAGTCTGACAGTCTGGCCCGGGCTCTCAATCAGCACGAGGCCGTGGTCAGCAGCATGCAGCAGAAGTTTGACAAGGAAGTCCTTGACCTGAAGGAAAAACTGGACATCGCCAATGAAACCATTAACCAAACGGTAGGCTATGGTCTGAATTAAACCAGACAGAGGGGTAGTGGTTAAAGTATTCTCTTGCCACGCCGAAGACCAAACTTTGATTCTCCACATAGGTACAAGAAGGTCCGGGTTAGAATGAACCTTCAGCAACCCATGCTTGTTGTAAGAGGCGACTAACGGGATCGGGTGGTCAGGCTCACTGATTTGGTTGACACGTCATCGGTTCCCAATGGCGCAGACCAATGCTCATGCTGTTGATCACTGGATTGTCTGGTCCAGACTCAATTATTTACAGACTGCCACCATATAGCTGGAATATTGCTGAGTGCAGCATAAAACTAAACTTACTCGCTCGCTCACTCACTCACTCACATGGGTACAATGTGTGAATACAATTTCTGGTGTGCTGCGCCATGATATTGCTGAAATCTTGCTTAAAGCAGGGTAAAACCACACAAACTCACTCACTCACTCCGTCTCAAACTCCATCGCCAGTAAGACTTAATTGAAAGGTTGGCGTCGTTTCCTAGGAATCATGAAAGTCTTAGCTGATGTAGCTATATTGAACGAAAAACGAAATTTCACACGTGTTACTTTATGTCCAAAACTTGCTCATCATGGCAGGGGACACCAGAAATAGGCTGTACCCATGTGGGGAATCGAACCCGGGTCTTCGGCGTGACGAGCGACCGCTTTAACTTCTAGGCTAACCCATTGCCCCACTAATGACAATGATTATAGACCCCCATACCTAAATGCAACAATGATTATAGACAATGTCCCATACTACTAAATGCAACAATGTGTGAAGCCCGATTCTGGTTAGCCTGGAATATGCAAAAAGCAGCATAAAACCATACTCTCTCACTCACTTGTAGGAGGGACGGAGCCCAGTGGTTAAGGCATTCTTCATCTTGGGCTACACCTTGTTTCCCCACATGGGTACAATGTCTGAAGCTCATTTCTGGTGTCCCCCGCCGTGATATTGCTGGAATATTGCTAAAAGCAGCGTAAAACCAAACTCACTCACTCACTCACTAAATGCAACAACACTGTCAGTCCAGTCAGAGCCTGAATACTTGATCCCTCTGGAGCTTCTTGCGACCATCGTAGTTTGCCTTGGACCAATTCTGTCCATGAATGTGATATTCTCACCTTGCACAAGTTAGAGGAAGATTCATTTTTAGCTTTGGCAAGACTTTTGGAGTTAGTTTTGGATGATGATGATGATGATGATGATGATGATGTTTTTCAGAATTCTGAAATCTCCTCTCAGCGTCAGCGGTTGAGTGAATTGACCCATGTCAGTGAGAAGTCTCAGATATCTCGAGCAGAGACAATCAACCGACTTACCAAAAGCCTGGAGGAGAGTCAGAGACGGTGCCAATCTTTACTGGAAACAGGTAGGTCAAGGTCACACAACAGTAGTCATTGAATGGTCTAGGATTCAACATCACATCCCCTTGGAAGGAAAAATTGTGATATTGTTCAAAACTTTGGATTGTCCAAAGTTAATATTTTCAAAAATTCAGAGGTATTTTATCTTTGAATCCAAAAAGGTCAGGGTCACACAACAGCATTCACTGAATGATCTTGGATTCAACGCAGAGCATCCTTGGATGGGATATTGGGGAAAATGATCATTTTGTTCAAAATGTTCATTGTCCTTTTAGTTATTATTTTCCTAAATTCAGAGGTATTCGTCTTTAAATGCATGTTCAGGAATTTGTCTGGGATTCAACATGGAGGCAAAATGTGAAAAATGATGTCTTTAGTTCTTAGATTTGGGACCAAACATTGTCCTCTGAGCCAACATAGATAAATTCTTCATATTAGTACAAGAGTGAGTGAGTGAGTTTGGTTTTACGCCGCTTTTAGCAATATTCCAGCAATATCACGGCAGGGGACACCAGAAATGGGCTTCACACAATGTGCCCATGTGGGGATTCGAACCCGGGTCCTCGGCGTGACAAGCCAACGCTTTAACCACTAGGCTACCCCACCGCCCCTATTAGTACAAGAGATGGCATGGAACGTATTATTGGCATGGGTTGTGGAGAGTCATTTCTGTTTCAAAAGTTTATCCCATTGATGTGAAAGATGATGATTTTGATGAATCATTTCTACAGCAAGTATATGTACCCTGTATTAGTGATATCAAGGTGGCAATATTAAACAAAACACATTTCAACTGTCACTAATCTGTTCTCGTCGTTGAGCACTGATAGATTGGTTGAAAGTCATGTTTTACCTCCTGTCCTCATGATGTCCTCAGGTCTGAGTTTGGTGGTATCAAGAAATGCTGATTATAATGATAACATCTTTGAGAGACATTTTTGTGGTTGTATAGGTGAAGGAAAACCAAATTCTAAGAATAGCCAACTTCTTTATTACAATGAGTGTGACGTTTCGGTGTAGGTACTAACACCGTTATCAAGCAGGTTGACTATCCATAGAACTTGGTTTTCCTCAATTTTAATGATATTGAGAATGTACAGAGCTATACCCCTTCTGCAGGTTTATAGAACAATCCCTCCTGGATTCCACGATTTCGCGGTTGCAGAATGAATCGCGGAAATTACCTTTTGATGCAGAAAAACGTCTGGTCCGCAGAAAACACATTTTCATGCAGAATTTGCCAATTTTCTGCCGCAGAATTTACTTATCTTGAAAGCTGAATGAAGAATGACCATTAAAATTACATTTTTCAAAATAGTCACAATTTTAATAATTTTCTTCATCACCTTACCCCACATGGGTACAATGAGTGAAGCCCATTTCTGGTGTCCCCCGTAATATTGCTAAAAGCGGCGTAAAACCAAACTCAGTCAGTCATCACCTTACAATGATATTATTTGAATTTTGTACTGCAAACAAATCAATCTTTTTGCAGATTGAAATTGCATTACTTGTGTGTTTTTTGTTCAAGTTTTTAACTGCAGAATTTTTGCAGAATTTTGAAAATTGGAATGCAGAATTTACTTAACTTTGCCGCGGAATCCAGGAGGAACTGATAACAGGACTGCATTGTAGCTTTGTCAGTTGACAGTCAGTGTTTCTGCAAGCTTAGTGCCACTGCATGTACCTCCGACAGTGATGGTCATCTCATAGGATGAGTTTGTTTTGCAGCTTCATCTCAGGAGGTGAGTGAATTGAAGATATCACTGAAACAGATGACAGCGTCACAGAAGATGTCATCAGAAATGTGTGATACACTTCAGGTATGTGCTGCACATTCCACCCAGATGCTCCTACCAAGTTTAACCATATTCCCTCAAACCACTGACTGATTCCATTCCTCTCTACTACACTTACTTTAAAGATCACCAGTAGGGATACCATGATACATCGATGCTTTTTCTAAGACGATACAATTACCGATACATTCAAAACTGTATCGATATTTAGTTTTGAAAGTATCGGTTTAAATATGTTTATGTATCGTTTACATTGTTTTTTATGTTATGAGAGTTATAAACGATTATTTTTCATGCACAAAGATGGGAAACTTTTTAATCTCTGAGAAAAAAAATGTTGATCTTTTCCTGGACAATTATAAAATATGAAATATTAATGTTCAAAATGTAACTAAATTTACGCAATAATGCCGCAAAAATAGATATCGTGATGTGTATCGAATCGTGACAAGGGTATTGTGATACGTATCGATTCCTGAAACTTATGTATCGTGAGATCCCTAGTCATCAGACCGCCTCCGTGGTGTAGTGGTTAGAGCGTCCGCCCGGAGAGGGGAAGGTCATGGGTTCCATCCCCGGCCGCGTCATACCAAAAGACATTAAAATATGGTACTTGTTGGTCCCTGCCTGGTGCTCGGACTAGTCGGATCGGAGTCAGTATAATGTGTCTGAGTGGGGTATTCATGCTTAACTGTGGCATGGTATCTCAGTGAGCTGGCACTAGAAAACCAACTGAAGTCTGGGCTGGTAGAAGCAGCCACACATAAACACGCATGCACGACATTATATGAGCGAAATATTCACGTTAAACTCCATTTCACCTCACATTACAGGTCGCCAAGCCCCTTCCATCCACCAGTGTCCTCTTGTAGGCTACCACTAACTGCTTTGGCTTCCGTTCCCAGACACCATCCCTGACCTCCCTTCCACCAATATTTCTAAACCAACTCAAACTCACTCACTCACTCCGTTCCCAGACACCATCCCTGACCACAATCCACAACCAACCTCCACTGACATAATCCACACTCCCATCACCCTCCACACACCATCTGTTGTCCTTCCACAATCCCCAACCACATTCCCTTGTTGTGCATATTCCCCACTCACCACCAACCATCTACCATCCAAGATTCCAAAGTACTCTCCCACTACCTGCCACCCAGCCACCATCATCACCCACAATGTAAAACTGATTTGAACAGCTTGAATGCCTCCACCATCCACCATAGTGACCACCCATCCCCTATAAACAATTCGCTTTACCCTTTCCTGGCTCCCTTCTGAATCACTGGCTTCATCTCCACGCCCATCCCTCTACTTCTATGACTTGACTCACCCTTCCCTCTGACTGACTTCTAGGGTTGGGTATTGCCAAAATTTTCGTATTGCGATATATTGTGATATGTGTTGGCGTATTGCAATATGTATTGCCATATATTGTGAAAGTGTAACACATGGTTTAAGGTAATTAAATTATTGTTTCCTTTCTTTTGAAACAATGCCACTGGCCACTCAGATGTAATTACAAGAGATCAATTCAAAATGTTTCCAAATTGAAGACTTCGCTTTTAAGTTTGGAACTTGACGAGAAAAAGCGTCTGCAGCTTCGTCCGCAATTTTGGTTTGTTTATCCTTACGAGTGCCGTTACCAAACTATTTTTTTATCTATATAGTTTAAAAGTCACTCAAATGCAATTATATGACCAATAAACATTCTCAAAACTATTAATGTGTAATAATATAAAGGAAATACAAATGGTATTAGTAGTTTTGACTACATCATGAAAAGTACCGATCGTATCT